TATTTTCGTAGTGTTTTGACCCCAATTTAGGAGTTAACTATTTGCCTATAAGGTGGCAGCATCTGTTAGGGTCACGGCTAAGTCAGGGTGGACCTGGGAGCAACAATTACCTCAAATCAGAGGTCTTGCTGCTGGATATAGTTTATCATCATACCCAGGACAATATTTATTAGTGCATGAGATAGTTGAATGGCAGTTTAGTTAAAAGAGGGAGATAAAAAAAATAAAAACTTAGGGAAAGATAAGCAAGTGGCCTTTGATATATTGAGAACACGGAAGAGGTAAAAATATGGATTTAAACCTACATAATGAGATGAATAATGGCCCTGAGAGGATTGGAACCTGGGACAACTTAACCAAAAAGCAGTAAAACTTAGAGGTTCCTAGCTTTACACATCTGCAAAGAGGCAGAGGTTTGTGCATTCTCAAAATTTACCCAGCTGGGACTGTTTTGAAAAATTTAATCTGAGTTAATCATGTTCTGCAAAAATTATGCTATTTCATTACAAAAGTGATAGCCTATATTTCAATCAGGTCTGGGTCGAGTCATTAACCTTTACCACACTAATTTCTTTCTAGAATTGTACCCCCTGCCACTGCATTCTTTTTTTTGAGGGTGCAAAAACATGAACACCTACTGTTTTAAAACTGTTATAACTTTCTTTGTATTATTAGTATAGATTTTATTTTTTGTATACTAATAAAAGAATGGATGATTAATATTTTGATGTAATGTATTATGTTTTGCATGCATGTTTTGACATTGAAAACAAAAAATATTGAAACGCAAAATAAAAAACAAATACATTAAAAATACAAATAATTCAACATACTTTAACTTTTATTACTCCTTGTGGAGTTCTGAGGGTGTAATAAGAAGCAAAATGGCTATGAAGGCTTTCATTTTGTCAAAAAAGTGACATGTTTCCTTGTGTTTACATACGAGAAGACACTGGCATTTGTTTGTTCTTTCTTTCACCCGACTCATATGTATTTGTCTCAGTGATGAATGAAGTTATTATTTCATTGTTTATAAAAAGACAAAATAATTCACCTTCGAAAAGGTTATCAGGCATATCGATGGTCGCCAGTAGATTCCATAAAATTAGTCAGGCATGGATGATAGTAGCTGCTAGTGGTCATCATCGCTTTCCTCCACATCACTAGCATGGTTATCATCTTCACCAATATCCACTCAGGTAAAGCCTTCAAAATCGTCATCAGAGTTCTAATCAAAGAAAAACTCCTGAATAAAGGCTTTGCTGGATATTGATGCAGCCATTTTTGTTTACAAAAATCACGAAGAAATTAACATGGGCTTAAATGGTGTTACATCTCATGTAGAGTCTAGAAGAATTCAAAATGGCATTGGAAAACGGAAGTTTAACCTCGTTCTAAAGTAGTAGTAGGCGATTTCCAGCTTAAAATACTGGTAATAACAGTTGACAAGAGTTTATTTAAAACAACAGTCTTAAGGTGACAGAATGTGCCCAGAGCAGCAAAGGGAGAGAATTCTTTGGCAACAATTTTCACCTGCAGCATCGTAAGGTTAAGTTGATTATTGTTTCTGACCAGTGGTCAGTGACCCACAATGATGGAAACAGCTGAATAAAACTAGACAGCCAAAATGCTTAGATTAGTTTTGTTCTAGGCTTCTTGTTGATTGCAGTCAAATTTCACACCATTGCTGCTAAGCTTCTGGCAAACACACAAGGAGCTTTTAGCAACAAAACCTACAGCAAAAAGAGAGAACTTCTTTCTATGTGTTCTGCCCTAAGACTAACATTTAAAATATAGCATCAAAGTAATATCACTGCCCCAGGTTGCCCTTCAGTCAACAGAGGATAATACCCACAAGTTAACCATGAAGAAAACACAGTTGTAGTCAATCAGACCCACACCAGATGATTATGATTAATATGCTCTGCAATTGTAGAATTGGGCTCTCTTTTTGCTGGGATGTCACTTTTCATGTGCTCTTCTGGTGAGGTTGCTTGCATTTTATTGAGGGTTAATAATATATATGCCCTTATATGGAGACCTTTGACTAACATTGTAGAGCACTTTTTACAGTTTGGGTTTTAGATCTCTTGCTTTTTTGACTCACTGTTAAATGTATTCTAGTGTTTTGGGTTTCTTCTTCTTCTCCAAAAATAGCAATGATTATGCGACTATTCCATTCCTGACCTTATGGGCATCCCTTCCTCAGTGATTTTAGATGATGAACATATTACATGTATTCACCAGCTATGCTTATTGTAACACCTTAGGTTAGCTGAGGCAGCATTAAAAGCCCAGATCACCGAATGTCTAAAGAATGAATGCTTAGTGCACTGAAAACTGACAGTTTTAATCAATCAAATATACACCAGAAGATTATGATTAATATAACATGCTCTGCAGTTGTCACATTGAGCTCACTTCTTTATGGGGGGGGGGCATCATTTTAAATGTGCTTCTTTGAAGTGACTTCATTTTGTGTCTTAATACACAAACACTACACACACACACACACACATATATATATATATATATATATAGTTGGAAATCCAGGGTCACAAACTCACATCAATCCAACTATCACTGATATTGAGCGCTTTCCAATAAGTACTGTGCATATATAATATATATAAAAAATTATACATATATATTAAAATGGTGTATTTATGCAACAAAAATTCTGTCAAACATGTTTTATTAAACAATACCAACAAAGTTGAAGTTTTCATTTAGTTTTTTGCATTTCCCAACTAAGTTGTTTTATATAAGAACTAGAAGATTTTGCAAGACTCTGGTGCATGTTGGAATCCTCACAGTATTTAGTATTGTTAAAGTCATCACTAACATTTTTTGTCCATTCAATTTTGTGAACCAATCACTGAAATTTAAATAAGCTCATTTGTTTGGAAAAATACTTTGACAAAACCTTTACTTTGCGGGTTTTTTTATACCCTTTGTACTCCTTACCTGTTTGCAATTTTCACCAAAATTCTGGACTATATGTATATAGATATATATAAGGTATATCAAAAATAATTTTACAAAATCTGGATGCGTGTTCCTCATACCAAAATAAAGACAATAAACATAAATCCTTCATTTTTGAGTTAAGTTTAAAGTTTAGCCTGCAGAATGTGTTCTTCATGATCAGGCATATGATCGGGTCTCAGACCTCCCCAATCCATAGTTTGTGGTGCCATGGATCCTGTCTCAGCAATATGAAGATAAACAGCAGCAAAGGCTGGATGACTCAGCTGCCTTCAAACTAGAAATGCAATCAGATAAAGCCGTGCAGCCTCGTGGTCATAATAATTTGTGAAGCCTATGTAAAAATCATATCTGCCTTCTCATGATATGAATATCCTCCCATTGTTAAATGGAATGCTTCTCAGTTAACCTACTACTATACACGTTAAACAATGAAGACAGACTAGCTACAAATGTACACGAATAACAAATGTAACCTAGTCTACGTGGCAACACAGCACCATCTACCGTAATCTTTCTTTAAACTTAATCCAAAAACAAAGGATTTGCGGGCATATGATTATATGGACTTTTGTCCTTGTTTTGGTGTGAGGAACCCACCCCCAAAGATTGTAAAATTGTGATACACCACATATATACACACACTAGCTTAAAAGCAAAGAGTAGATGCCCCTGCATTTAAGTACTGCATTAATATTTAAGCTTACCTTTTAAAAGTCCAACAATAATTCTTCTGCTGCTACTTAATTTAATGACAATTTGATGTACGTAGGTCCTCACTTTCTGTTTAAACAATCATTTTATTTCATGAGTGACTTTCATTAGATTTCGCAATTAATTTTGATCATTCCCAAATTATAAAAATTATTGTATAAATAAAATGAAAAAAAAAACACCCAAAACAATTGCAGTAATGAAAACTCGGGAATCTAAAATTTCAGGATTGCAGGTCTGGATCCAGCCTGGTATGTTTTTAATTTGTTCACAGAGTCAATCTGATTCCAAAATGGTGTGATATGTTGGGCTACAGCCTCTAGGAGTAAACTTGAAAAAGTGTGACACACTGACATTTGCATTTATTATAAAATTTCCATGTCTGTTTGAAATCATATGAAAACCAGGGCTTATCATCCCTGCCACTTGGAAAATAATTACAACACAATTTTTCTCCCACCTGTATCATACTAATCTTAGTAAATATCCATTGTGAAATGGATATCAATAGATTGACTAAATGGAGTATGGGATGTAAATCTTTTTTGGCAATGTTTCACCTTCATGCTCACAATAAAACATTGTATCAAAAACTGTTATCTTGTACTACCCTCACTCCATGGGCAATGTTTATTATTTTAAAGATCGATAATTAGAATTTTAATAAAATCCAATCACATGAAAGTGAATTCATACATGTTTTTGTTCTATGAGAATTTACAACAAAAATATTAACAGATTGTGACATCTATCAGAGAGATGAAATTTAAATATTATTGCATTATTCCAAAATTTTAACACATCAGCAGATAGCTATTGATGTCAACAACTGAGCACAGATAGTTATTAATTAAAAAAAATTAGTAATTAATGTATAATTTTAAGACTTAGAAATCAGAGAGACAAGTTCGAATTCCAGTCAAATCCATTACATTCACTTATGTGCTAATACCATTGGGAAAGGGTATGAATCCACCCCTCCATGGGTAAATAGCAGGACAGATTGAGTTCTATAGCCTTGGATGGCAACTGGAAACCATTGCAAAAAGAAATGGCAACCTACTGCAGAAAAAAAAAAATCTGCCTCATCAGTCATGTATCAAAAGATACATGATTGCCTAAACATGTATCACACATGGTAGATAACTGACTGAAATAAACATTGCTTCGGGCTTTGGTCTAAAATAACAGTGGTGTCAACAACACACACAAAAAAAAAAAAAAAAAAAAAAGAAAGAAAGAAATTATTGTGAGCACAAAGGTTAATCTATGTCAAATTTTCCCAGATTTATACTCACTTTTTGGATGATAAGGTTTCTCCCCCGAGACGAATCTTTAACTTAATGGACGGTTTACTGTCTGATAGTAAATTTGAATGAGTGACTGGACTAGTTTCTTCTTCTTCTTTTCTCTTTTTGTGTTTCTTCTTGTGCTTTTTGTGTTTCTTGTGACTCACAGGAGAATCTGAAAGAAAGCAATTTATTACCATAATTATATTTTCACAAATATAATTCTGTACATATTCATATGGAGAAAAATGAGCACATGTATAAACTATATAGACCTAAATAAACTAGAATAACTATCTTTTGTTTGCCAATAGACATATTCTTTAACAAATATTACCAATTTACTATTTATTACAAAACAAATTAGCCTTTACTTCAACACAACCATAGCAAAGAAAAAAAAACATTTTTATATCCAGCATTATAACAATCAAAATAAATGAGCTTGTCATTGCTTATACATTAATTTCATGTTAATTCCCAATATTACATTTTAATGGGTGTCTATCATGAGTAGTAAACTGGATGCAAAAATTTTGGCTTGATGTTTTGCCAACAATGTGGACATGTGCCTCAAATATTTAAAAATGTAAAACCAGTTAAAAGAGAAAACGGAGACTTGGAATTTGACAATACCATCATGCCCCTATCCCAAGACCAGTACAGCTTGAGTTAAATATACCCACTCCTATTTAGAATGTTGCCATCACCAAATCTTTCTCAATCTGATTTTCACCCAAGAGCCCACCGGCAGTACTGGTTGACTCTGCCAGTCATAACTGTATATTGGTATCACTGAAATGAACACTTTATTGTAATTTTTTTGTATAACTTGATTTTTGTTTGGGTTTTTTTTCCACTTTTCTATACCATCTTATATCAGAAAAGTTACTTTATGTTTTTCTTTTTCTCCCTTCATTGTTTTAATTTTCATTTATTACTTGCCTCAGAATGTTTAATTATATATATATTAGTTATAATTTTTCAATGTTTTTTTTTTGTAGTGTCACAGTTAAATTTCTAATTCCAACAAGAACACAGTCTATACAGGGGTTGAATAAGACTGCCAAATCTTTTGTTAGATGAAATTAGCCTATTCCTCATATGAGGTAATTTTGGATTTTATTGTGTACTATATATATATATAATTTTTTTTTTTTAACGCCTCCCCCTCATTCTTTCCACTCCCACTCCTCAACTTAGCATCTACGCTGACCACACTACCATTTATTCCTGCCTCGATAGCTTCAAGTCAAAATGGCAGCCGATGTACAAAATGACCTCAAGACTATCGTTAACTAAGGCAAAAGATGACTTGTCAATTTTAACACCTCCAAAACTAAACTGTTCTCCATTAGTCATCCAAGGAACCCCGCTCTGCCTTCCATCAGCATGGCTGATGCTATCCTCCAAGAAAGTGAGTGATAGTGCCTTCTCAGGCTAATGTTCTCAGCTGACATGAAGTGGAATGACTACATTGAACCTATCACTAGATCAGCTGCTAAGAAAATCAGTCCACTGTGTCGGGCAAGACAAGACAATTTTCCTCTCTGGAATTTTTTTTTATAAATACTGTACCTCTTTTTATAAATACTTTCATGGTAATTGTTCAGATGAGCTGTTCATTATGGTATCTAGACTATATGAACTTAAGCACAATATGAGACTGACCATGAGATCTCATCAATTTACAGTTGAGCTAGCTAAATGTAGCAGTAACTTCTATGCTAACAGTTTCTTATCTCACACTTCTCACTTGTGGAATTCCTTCCCAGCTTCATGCTTTCCAACCAACTTTAAACTGCAAAAATTTAAATGCAATGTCAAGCACTATCTACTGTCCCCCCAATTTCTCTTTTTCTTTCTCCTCATTACTAATGTTTCTGTTCCTAGTTCCACACCCTGTAACCCCTTGTGTGCTAGTGGCTGTACTGCCTTACTTGGAGTGATAATGATAAAAAAAAAAAAAATATCAGTTTATCAAACTATTTGAGGTTATAACATTTAGAAAATTAAAATCACTCCTTTATAAAAATTTATAAGATTTAAACATTGAGCTAAAATCAAATGTTATCTACTTGAAACACAATGGCACAAGCTAAAACATTATTTTCCTTGCTTTGTTTACTACAAATTCAAATAAATATGAGCTTGTCAAATTGATATCATTACAGTTTATGAAACTATTTTAGTAGGATCCCTGGGAATATGTGGTATTGTGGTATATGGCAGATCAAATGGTGAGGGATGAGTTCTTGTGGTGATTCAGTAACTGTAATAGATGAATGGGTTGTGAATTTGATTAGCTAGTTTGAGGATAGGCAGTAAAGACCAGACTTACACCACTTTTGCTTTGTGACCAAATTGTAATTCCAGTTACAATAAATACACAATTTATGGAACTATTTAGAAGTTATAACATCTATAAAATTAAAATCATTACTTTATAAAAGCTTTATAGTCCTAGGCTGCAGCCTAAAATAGCCTAAAGGATTATCTGATTCTACCCACAAGTGTTTGGCAAGCATGACATGACTTCAACATGCACCTACTGCAACAAATTGATGAGGCTATTTAAGAATGCAACTCAAGTCTTCAGGTCAATGTTTTGGATTTGTAGCATCTTATAATGGTGGGCAAAAGTAACCCTAGTACAACCTATCCTGTCTTCCTTATCCCCTACACTAAATCTGTAACAACTGATTCAGACAGTAATAGAGTAAAGAAAGTGTTGATTTGGTTTGTTTTACGGCATATCAACCTCAATGGGTTATTTAATGCTGACAATTTTTATCGCTGGTAATATATTTCCTTCAAAAATGTATAGCTGGTAATTTTTTTTTTCCAAAAATTCATTACTGGTAATGTATTGTTGGTAATAATTTTTCATCAAAAACTGTATCGAAGGGGTTTAAACCCAATTTTGGGGGTTAACTATTTGCCCATAGTTGGGACCCTAACATGTGTTAGCACCCCGGGTCAGAGTGGACCTGGGAACACCAGCAATTAAGAGGTGATTCCATGCTACTAAAAAACCCGATCAAAGGCCTTGCTGTTGGATGTAGTTTATCGTCTTACCCGGGACGTGAATGTAGTTTAGTGTCATGCCCGGGACGTGAATGCAGTTTAGCGTCATACCCAGGGCTCAAATGTAGTTTAGCGTCATGTCCAGGACGCAGTAAAGTATTGAGATAAAAATAAGAGGGTGGGAAGTAGGAATTAGTCTGTGACATTTACTTTTGTACAGAAGATCAAAGGAAAAGTATTAGTCCATCTCTTTTCCCTGCCACTACCAGCAATGGCTTAAATAGTAGGGTAAACTGGACTCTCTAACCTTGGATAGCACTGTCTTGGAGAAGGGCTACTCTGAATTTCAAACTGTGGAGAAGGCAACTGGAAACCACCCCACTATTTTTCCCCAAGGAGGCATGGCAATTCATAGATAATAAAGAAATGGAATGTGTGGAGAGCTACGATCACATACATCCTAAAGAGAGAAGGAAAACTGAATTCCAAACCATGTAGAAGGCAATGGGAAACCACTCTCCTATCTTTCACAAGTAGGCTTTCCTCATTGCCGTAACAGCTTCCCTGTACCATTTCTATAAATATTTTCATGGTAATTGTTCTGATAAACTTTTTATTTCATTTTTTATTTAGACTTTAAATTTAATCTCAGTAATAACTTGGCAACAAAGTCTCATCATTTTACAGTTAAATTGGCTAGATGCAACGATAAGTTCTATGCTAACAGTTTCTTCTCATAATGCTTGCTTGTGGAAATTTCTACTGGTTTTAGCCTTTAATCAACTTTGGTCTTCAAAAATTTAAATGCAATATCAATTGTTGTTTTCTTTTGTTCTCTCACCTTAATATCGATTTTTCTGTCATATTCTCCAACACCCCAATAACCCCCCCGCATGCGTCTTAGTGGCTTTATTGCCTTTCTTGGAGTGAATGATTAAAAAAAAAAAACTGAAATTAATTAATGCCAACAGCCAACTGATCAAGAAGTCATATAAAAATGCGGTTCTTTCTCACAGGAATAAAATAATAATTACAAGAGGAACCACTTCTCACCTAAATGTGACTTACCAACTCATTTTAATTTACAATTTACATTGTAGGTGTGCACGAAGACATTGACAAATTCAAGTTTAACCATTTATACTTATTCAAACTAAAGTTCTCATCTTGGATTTTAAACACAACGTTGTACTATCAGGCCTTCTTCAGGTGTATGTTAGGTTACGTTAGACATTTTTTTCTTAATCTAACACGCGATAAAAAAAAAACTATAAAACAGCGGACTGGCTCGGTTATTGACCAACACAAGCAAATCGCGGTTTTAATTTTCATAAGTAATTAAAACAACAAAATTATCAGTTAATTAATTAAAACTGTGTAGATTAATTTTAAAAATTCAAATTTTAAAATAAGAAAACTAACAAGAAAGAAATTAAGGAGTTAACAATAACATTGTTTTATTTTCTATTAAATAATTTAAATAATTAAACGTTTAATTTTTGTCTTAATTAGTGTTAATACAGGTGAAAGTTCCCGATTAATAAGCAATATTTTGATCTTTTTCTATTTTTAGAAGAAAAAAATTAAATTTTGAACTTTTTTTAGTAGATTTTTTACTTTATTTTACTTTTACAATTTCATCGTTTAAATTTGTCTTTAAAAGTTTTCTCAAACAGTCGACACAAGCATTTTTATCAAATAAATAGTGAAAACAATAAATATTATCGTGTCCAAATAACTTTTTTAAATTTGTAGGAAAAAAATAACAACAATTAATTGCTAAAAAAATAGAAATATATCAAAATGTTTGAAAAAAAAATGATTTTTTTTAATTTTACGTTACCCGTTGTATCTTCTTCATTTGCTTGATCCTTCTTTTTCCCCATAATGAAGGTATCTTTAAAATATACAACTCAAAACAACCGTAAACATTGACATAAAGGAGGAACAAGAATAAAGTAAAAATTTTTGGGGAAAAAAGCAGCAATGAAAAATATATATATATATATATATATATATATATATATCTCTTTACTTAACTAGTTCAGTTTATCTGTCGCAATCCTAAACAACAAATTAATTCTTCAAGCTTAACTGTACCTGAGTGCTGCCTTCATTGGAACGACCACTGATCCAATAAAGGCCTCACATGAACAAAATTATTTTTTAATTAAAATAAAAACAAATAACAAAAATAATTAATAAATTAATAATAATAATAATAATAATAATAATAATAATAGTAGTAGTAGTAGTAGTAGTAGTATCAATAATAATAGTAGTAGTAATAATAATAATAATAATAATAATAATATTGTAGAATTAGATTTTTACATTCTCTGTTTTAAACCTATTAAAAAAGGATTACAGCTAAGTATTATGAACCCATTAAAATCGGCTCCAGAGTTTAGTATGAAACAATGCTTTCTGATTGGTCCATAAATAATAATGTCATGTTTCTGCCTTCTGCACGGTTGATCTCGAGTTGACCTGTTCATAGTACAACATGCCAGAAAAATGTAAACATGTTCTTGAACTTCCACGTGATCAAGAAAACTCATAAATATGAAACTGTGATGTGACTTAGTGAGTTTTTAAAATAATCAACTCATCACACAACTCCATGAAACTCAACTTCCTTTTTATTAACATCAACCCAGTTTGTGCAATTCAATTTCTTTTCAACATCAACTCATCTTGTGACAAATTCAACCAAGACAAGATTCAGAAACCAACTTGAAGTGATTGCTATATTTTTCCACGCCCACATTTTATTCGCATGTGATTGGCTAATAAATTACTACTACTTTTATATAGGACAATTTAGCCAACACAATCGTTTCTTTGAATCCTTTGGTTTTGAGCTTGCTTGCTTGTTCTGTTAGTACGAATGTAGTGATTGGTTAATTTTTAAACCAATCACATATTTTAGTGCAAGATTAAGTTTTCCTGCGTTGCCATGGGAGCCTACCCTTTTTTCTTAAAAGAGGCGAATTTTCGCAAGTTGTCAGTAAGATCCCATAAGATTCCAGCTGTCCAGCTTCACATTTCAAACGCACACACAGACACAGAATTTTATAATATAAACTTACATTTCTCTCTGTGACTTTGCCAAGTTCAATCAACCAGAACTCTGTTTATTCAAACCATTCTATAACACAACACATTTTTAATTAATTGTATTCTTGTGTTATTTATTCTTAACATGCAAACTTTGCTCTAATATTGATTCCTGAACATTTTTCTGTCAAGAGAACTTTCTTCGAACAATTAATTACAAATCAATCTACAGTTAAAGGGGAACAACGTCTTTCCCTTAATCTATACATTGAACACAATTTTATTGCATGTTTATTCTTGTATGTTATTTTAATATATATTTGTTGATTAACAACTTGGAGTTATTGTTGTTTTCTTGAATCCTGTACATTGGAAATATTGTTAATATAAATAGCATTGGTCCATCTACAATCGGACACCTTTACAAACTCACTCAACATCTTAACAACATAAAGGAAATCGTAATTATATCAGTCGAAGTGAGACAACTCTACAGTAAGTCAAGCAATCTATTTCATTCAATTTCACCATCAACATAAACTGTTTAATTCCTTACCAAATCTATAGCATAACACCTTTTATATTACTTTTGATAACATAACCAAGAACTCTAAAGTGTTTTAAACAACTTTATTATATCATGTGTACTTGTTGTTTTATAAAAATATTTTATGTTAAAACAAATATCAGCCTATTTGATTATTTCTCTTGTTGTTGTCTTTGTTGCATTTGATTTAGTAAAAATAATAGAGGGTCAGTTTAATTTGTATTTTGTCACCAATACAGATTGGCTAACCCACTACAATATTAATAATAATAATAATCTGTTCTGTTATTGTCCCAAATGAATACAAAAATAGTTGCGATAGAGTGGGCAATATTCACACTGTACAATATGCAAACATTCTGTAAAAGATGTTAAACACTGGTATGAACATCATCCAGCACTGGTTACAGAAATAAAAGACATCACAATTCTATGTGTGTTATTAGTGGAACATGCCTATTCTATAGTTAATAGCCTCTCCCACCTATAATAAGTAGGAGTAGTAAGAGTAATGAGGAGTCGCTTAGTGAGTCGCTCAGTCAGTCGATGCCGGACGACCGTTAGTCGGATACTAAAGTATCAGCGACCACAACTAGATTTCTCTGCATCATTACCTATTATATCAAGTTCCTAACGTTTTGTACATCAAACCTATTTTAGGACCGACTTAGTACAAATACAAGCCTCCACTGTGAAACCACTCCATAATGTGATTACACCATCTTTACAGACAGGAAGATTGAAGAAAATAGGCTGGACATAATTATCAAAAAAACAAAAAGAAAAATCTTGCCTACTAATTGGTATGGATTATTGCCCAGTGGACTGTAACATAGCAACCAAGGAATTTGAAAAACTATCAAAGAATAAAGACCTGGAAAAATCAGAAATTGGAAATAAGACTTGTACCAGTCATAATATGTGAGCTTGGAATGATGAAAAAATGGAACACAACACAATGAAGAAATCCCAGCTTTAGAGAAATACCAAAATTGTCTTGCTAAGTACAGCCCACACACTAAGAAGAATTTTGTCTATGTAATGCTAGTGATGTTATGGGAGGTAGGAAAGCAAATTATGAAATGTAGCCATAACAATACACCACTACCTGCCTTAGGTCTTCCTGCAGAATTGGTAGATAGTGTGGCCATAGCAAGAATAATAATAATAATAATAATAACACTGTGGGACACTGTTAGTAAAATTGTCCATTCCTTTTCTCACAAGGCCCAGTGCTCCGATTACTATTGGTACAGTCTCAGACTTCATTCCCCACATCCTGTTAATCTCGATCTCCAGGTCTTTGTATTTGGACAATTTCTCGATAATTTTCATAGAGGTGTTTCTCTCATGATACTGCTATGTCAATAAGCATACACTTCCTCAATCTCTTGTCTTTTATGATAATATCAGGTCTGTTGGCTTCCATTTCTTTGTATAGTTTGAATTTTGAATTGGCATGTCCCAGAAGATAGTTACATCATTATTTTGGGTAACTGTGCCTAGTTGATGGTTATACCATCTCTCAGTGGTTTTGATTTTATGTTTCTTTTATATCTTCCAGTGCACATGTTGCTACTTTGTTATGTCTATGGGTATATTCATTTTTCACTAGTTCCAGACATCCTAGTTGATAGTTTCATCATATTTTCTGCAGATCCTGCATTTCAGGTTAGTTCAATCCTTGATTATGTGACAGTGATAGAATCTGGTTGCGAGGCTATGGTCCTGAACTGTAATAATTATACCTTCTGTCTCAGCTTTCAACCCAATGATCCTCAGCCATTGTTGTGTTTTCTGTTGGTCTACATCTGTTTCTTTCATTCTTTTTAGGTATTTGCCATGCAACAGCTTGTCCTCCCATTTTTTTTTTTTTTTTTTTTGTAATTTCATTTGACCCATTTGTTTTGCTTTCTGTTTTCTTTGTTTGGCATAGATGGTATGCGCTACATTTTTTGTTGGTAGGGTTTCAGGTATATTAAGCTACTTCTTGAAGAGTGCAGCTTCTTTGTTAAGGGAGTGGATTTGTTGTTTTAATATTTGTAGGAGAGGGCCATTGGTTTTTGTGAGGTATGCTTCCATTCTGATTGTTGTAGCTTTTAGAGTTAGTTCAAGTTGGATTAGACCTTGGCCTCCTTGATCTCTTGGTACATACAACCTATCAACATCTGATTTCAGGTGGTGCATTCGCATTTGGGTAAGCATTTTTCTGGTGTTGGCATCCAATCTTCTAATGTCATTCAACTTCTATTTAATAATTTTGAAGTTGTATGTTACTACAGGTATAGCTAAGGTGTTCGTAGCCTTAATTTTATTGGCTCCATCAAGTTCACTTTTTAGTATCAAACACACTCTCCTATAATATTCTTTTTGGATCTTTTTCTTCATAAATGAATGTTGTATTCCATTTTCTTCATTAATTCCTAAGAATTTGTATGTACCATCTTGGTCTCTAGTTCCTTAATCTTGTTGATATCAAGATCTAAATCTGTAGTTTTCATTAGCTTACCACCTTTGATGGTAGCTTTGGCACATTTGTCAATTCTGTCAGTGAGAATGTGACTGAAGTTGAGATGCCAGATCAGGATTGATTATATTACAGACTCTTCCTTGAATTTTGCCAAGAAATGATTTGACTAAAATCATTACTGTCATTAATTTTCAAAATAAATAATAAATCTTCTTCCTTTTTATTTATTTTTTTAAATATTGTTGTATACTGTACTTATGAACACTAATGGGTATGTCCCAGTCCTCATAAATATATTTGACACTATTGTAAGTGTGGGGGGGTAATATGCTCTCTAAGTAGTCCACCACTAGCAGTGGTTTACCTACTTCATGGTGCTGGCGAGTATTGTATTTTATTGATGTTATAAAGCTTACCATTTCATTTTCAACCTTCATTTTGGTTATTCCTCATTCAGTAACCCTTTCTAGGTTACAACAAATATCAACTTCTACAACTTCTATGGCAAACATAGGCTGTCATGCCTGAAAGAAAAAACCATAGTGTCAAAAGAATGGTTTTTCCTATGACATCACTTTTATCTTAATAAAACATTGTTTTAAAAAGCAATGATTAGAATTGGAATAAAACCTAAATATATGAAAGTGAATTTACACATTTTCTTTGTTCTTGAGAACTGGAAACAAATATAATAAATACTATTTATTTATTATATTGTTCATTTACACTATTTATTATATTGTTTATTTACACTATTTATTAAATTGTTTATTTACACTTTATTTATTAAATTGTTTATTTACACTATT